AACACGACATCTCATTCCAAAAGGAAATGTTTTATTGATTTTTATTTCCTTGTTCTTTTTTCTTCTTCTTCTTCTTCTTCTTCTTCATTTCAATTCAAGAGTATATGAAACGTTTGAACAGAATGAACGTATTGAAAGCAGCACAGTTAACTGAGCGGTCCTTACGTTTCAAACGTCAGAACCATTGTCTCATGGTTTGGAATGATGGCTCGATGTTGCTGTCTGAACATGCTGGTCAGATTGTCGTGCTGTGACCAGTGACCGGTTTATTTTTGACAATTGAATGTCAAGTTAATTTCATTTCAAGAGTACACTCTAAAATAAAAATTGTCAAGACTGTCAAAATGCCATCTAACTAAAGCCGACCTTGACACTAATAATTATAATTATATCTGGATTATATTAAGACCTGTTATGATTATTTACTGGTGTGCAAATTTACAAGGTAATAAACTGGTATAATTAAAATGCAGGTATACACGAAAGAAATGGCCGCCTGTGTGGTCTAATGGTTACTGGCTGCAGATCCAGAGGTCCCGGGTGCGATTACCGGCTCTACCAGATTTTCTGAGAAGTAGTGGATCTGGAACGGTATCCACTCAGCCCCGTGAGGTTAATCGAGGAGCTACTTGAATGGAAAGTTAGAGGCTCCGGTCTAGAAAATCGAAATTAACGGCCTTGGGGATCCGTTGCGCTGACCACGCGACTCCTACTATCCGAAAAATTTGGCACTAACTTCGCCGACACGCGGCGGTCGCTCGGTCGGTATAGTTCGTTTGCGGACTAAAAGCCACGGATTTTAGTTTGTACATGGGAATTTATAGTGCGTATGTTTTGGACAATATTTCGGGACGTTTGAGAGAGATAATTTAGGCCTATGTATGTTTTGGGTCATTAAATAATGCCTTCATGGTTTATCCTCTTTATAATAGTTCTTAACAGTTCCAGGTTTTATGCGGCGTGACAGGTTCATTATGAATAGGATAAGAAAGGAAGTGTAAACTATCTACTTTCTGTTTGCTGCTCTTGTATTCAGAGTGAATTAAAATTAAACGTACCAGATATATCTTCCTATGAAAACTATCATATTTTAACAATAATCGTTACGATAACCCGGCATTGATGCTGATAAATGACCTATCGACACGAAGCTTGTAAGAAACCGTAGGAGATCCAATTCTGACAAAGTGCTTAATTATACTAGGCAAGTTAAAGAGTTTAATATATAAAAATATGTATATTTCTTATAACTAACTCCCTGGAGCTGAGCTGTTCTTGAGAAACCGACATTCACGTAGCTACTAAAGAATATACCAACATTTAATGGACCCTGAAAGTTCATTACCGTGTTCAAAAGATCCTCCCATTGGTCCCTTTCGTGAACCACATCAATTCAGTCCATATCAGCCCTTCCCATCTCTTTAAGATCCATTTCAATATCATCCGCCCAACTACTTTTTGGTCTTCTTCAGGCTTTCCCACCAGTATTCTATGTGCATTCCTCTTCTTCCCCATTTGTACTATATGCCCTGCCCATCTCATCCTCCTTGACTTGATCATTCTAATTACACTTGGCGAAGAATACAAGTTATGAAGCTCCTCATTATGCACTTTCTCCAGTTTCCCGTCACTTCATCTCTCTTCGGTCCAAATATTCTCCTCAACACCCTGTTCTCAAACATCCTCAGCCTATATTCCTTCCTTAATATCAGAAACCAAGTTTCAGGCCCATACAGAACCACAGGCAAAATTATAGGTTTGTATATTCTAAGTTTTAGGATTTTAGACAGCAGACGAGAAAACAAAAGGTTCTGGACTGAATGGTAGCCAGCATTACCCGAAATCACTCTTGTCTTAATTTCATCCTGAATCAAATTTTGATTTCTTACTGTCACTCCAAAATATGTGAACTGTACCAAATTTTCAAAGGAACTATTAATTATCTTTATATCATGACTTTGTCCTGCATTCTGATGTCGAGACAGCAACGTATACTTAGTTTTCTCTGTGTTTACTTCTAGACCAACCTCGTTACCAGCGTCCATTAAAGTTTATATGTTTTTCTCCATCATGTCTACGTTACCACCCAGTTGATTCATATCATCAGCATAGACCAGCAGCTGATGTGTCCCATCTAATTTCAGTCCCACCCCGTTTTCCTTGACCTTCCTAATGGCATATTCTAAAGCGAGTTGAAAAGCAGTGACGATAAAGCATCTCCTTCTTTCAGACCATTCTGGATAGGAACATTATCGGACAAATGTTTATCTGTACGGACTTTACTACAGGATTTAAATAATCACATTTTAATGTATATTCGTTATATTAGTATTATATTGGACATACACGTACACCAGTATCTGAGGTACGATGTTTCGGGAAGTAGCATTACTCGCATCGTAAAATGATTGGTTGTCTTGATGTTGATGTTGGTTTTCGATGTGCTGACCGATGTTTATTATTGTATGTTATTAAAATTATGGAAGACATTTGACGCTGAACCAGACATTTTTAAATACTAGGCTATAACCGCAGTCTAGCCCTTTTCTTTCTTGTATTTAAAAGTCTGCGTTCGGGCCGAACCGTCACCACTAATCATATAAATAAACGAGAATGTGTGTGGGTTTGTGTATTAATGCTCTGAATCCAACACAAAGGAATCTAGAAATCTGGAACTTGACAAACCTGAAAGTGTCCACCTCGTGGGATTTTTAGTTTTTGTTTTTGTTTTAGCAATTACATCACTTATGTTTACAGGCTGCAATTTAGGCAGTTAACATATAAGCAATATTTCTGTGCGGAAAGCAAGATGGAGACTACAATGTATACACAATCGTGGGAACGAAACATGTTTATACTTGATTATGGCCTGGTATGTTTACATTTGTGAATAACTTATAAAACTATTACATTACACTATATGTGCATTTCCAAAAGAAGTGTGGGAATGCAATTTTGAATTCTGAATTATAATCTTTAAAGACCACAGAAACGGCATTTCACAATATATTGCTCTACAAATAAACCCACAATCAAGATTTTTATAAAGAATGGAGCGCACCAAGGCCAACTGGTCGCCTGACTGTCAATATGGCAGCTGAACATTTTTTATGTTGTGTTAGGATTTCAGTTATATTACTTTATATGATTTTTGTGAATTTGAAACTTGTTAAATGAAGTCTAGTCTTAAAATAAACATTAATAAAAGAACCTATCATCTTAATGACAGCTAGTCTCCTAAACACGGGTGTAGGGCCAACTCACAAAATGCCCTGCATAGCAGATATGCCCCATACAATGGACAATGTCCAGCGTGTTAGTGGTCTATGTATGAAAGACGCCTGGGTTCAGCACAATAATTCTGAAGGAATATTCTGCTGAACGTCATTGAGAGTAAAATTAAGAGAATTAGCATAGCGCAGGTAAATACGCAATATGGCCGCTGCACAGTTTCGTTTAACTGAAGTGTACGTAATGGCGAGGCAGTCCCGGATATTAGCAATTAATTTACACCCAGTCTCCCTTCTTAGTTCTTGACTGCGGAGCAGAAAATGACATCCCAGTTCCTGAAATAATTGTAGAGTAATAAAAACCCAGCATTGTTTTATGAATTCCATATTTTGCAAGGCATTTCCTTTGAAACAAATATAAAATGTTACAGCCAGTGAAGGTTTTAATTACCAGCGTCGTGATTTAAGACAGTAAAAAAATTAACGTGAAGAAGGCGCATGTTGTCCCCTTCCCGACTGTCAACAGTAATTTATGAAAGTGTAGCGGAACATGTCCTTTGTTTCAATGACCTAGACGTCTTTGTCATAAAACATTAAGAAACGAAACAATAAAAAGTCTTTCCGTGCGAAAAGCGAAGTTATCTTCTTCAGTGTTTTCAACGAGATCAACAACCCAGTGATCTTCATGCTTTACCTGTTAACGAAAAACACTGCGCTTCCGCTACTGTGAGCACTCCACTTTGTCAATTCTGCCTCCTCTCTCTTCTTCTGTTCAGATTTCAGAATTTAATTCCGAAACGACTGATAATGTCTTACTTGATTAATTGGACGGGGAGTTGGCCCACGACATAGAAAAACGATTGACGACCACGATTAAAGCGGTCAAAAATGTATGAGCCCTTATATAGTGCAGCCACAATAATCGGTAATCCATCTTTATCTTTTACATCTCGTACAAAGATCACCAGTGGAAGGGTTTATGGGACCCACTAAATGGAAAGCTTCATCTATGGTCTTATACAAATTACGTTCTTTCTGGATTAATATGGTTAGAAATTTGAACTGTGTGATAAATTGTGATGGAAATTGTCCCCAGCGGGCCAAGGAATCATAACGGACTATATTAAGAATCTCCCTACTCAAGTTACATAGGCGGCACAACATCGGCCACCTTGAAGAGAGACGACAGGGGTATTGACACGAACCTGCAAGGTTTATGAATTTTAATTTTTAACAAAGTTTTTTCAGAACTTTAAAACAACTTTAAATATTTCTATAACCAGAAAGGCTGCTGTGACTGATAGAACATTGTGTACTTGGCAATACATGTGTAATTGATATGACAACTGTCGTGATAGTGGTTTCTAAAAAGTGTTTGGTGCCTCTGAAGATGATCCAAATGGATTGATTGATTGATTTATTTCGTCACTGTAGATCATTGTACATGATATATGACAAGTCAAGTTAATTCTGAATATTAACAATTTGATATATAAGTAGATTAAAATTACAATAGTTACAATTTTTTACATTCTTATTTGTGGAGAATTTGATGGAATGAACATCGAAATGGATCGAAACATGTAAGGCTAGTGAATCATCAAGTGAGAAAACTGAAGTAGTCACACTGGACGGACTTGTCTTTTATAATTGTTTTATTATTTCGTCGCTCCGAAGACAAATCTCGGCTACTAGGTACCGCGACTGCATGCTCGTACATCCAGCGCCATCATGTGAAACAAATAGAAGTTAATCCATGGCTTCTTGTTTTAGCTGTAGCATCGTAATATGGCCGTAATGGCGACCAGCGTAAGCGCTGGGAAGGAATGTGTCGGTTTCGGAAGTCGTCGGAGGTCGTGACACACTGTGATATATTTGCGTATTTGAGGAAATTTGCAGATCAGTTGTTTTTACCATTTTAACTAATTCTGCAATTTAATGCTCATTATTCACTAAAAGTACACAAAGCAGGACCAAAAGTAGATGATAATGATTCGAGTAGGACTGACAGCAGCTCTTTGTAGGTTAGTGTATTACATGTTCTTATAGGTTATGGAACTAATAAAAGTTTTTTTCACGAACGTGCTGGTGTAACATTAACACTCTAGATTCTCTTTCGAAATGTTCTCGGTTAGAATCTCTGCCTGGGCACCAGCTGTCTTAACAGGTGTTTCATGGGTTTACTCAGGCAAATTCCAAGATAGTAGTTCGATTGGGCCACGACCCGTTCATTCGACATCGTTTCCAATCAGCCATCCTATCATTCGACGCTATATAGTCTAGCTACTGACAGCGGTGTAAAATAATCCATATACACAAAACCGTTGCCCACATACCCAAGGACCAGCCCCTGAGGGCATGTAGTTAGTGTAGACCCTTGACGTAAGCAATTGACGAAAGAATGACCTTGATGCAATGGCAGCAGTACTACAGGGGAAAGACTCAAGTGCATAATCAATACAAGACTGAGTGGACCCAATACATAAATAAATAAAGAAAACATTTATTATTTCATGGTTTTACAAGTTCAAAAAGTTTTTGTCATCCAAAAATTTCGTAAATGTCCACAAAAACTATTTCAAACGTTTTAAAATTAAATAAAATGTAAGATTTGACAATACTGTATGTCAGAACCTTTGGGAGAATATCCCTCAGGCCTTAGACCTCAGTGGCAGATCAGTTCTGCTGTCTTCCCATAATGTTTTGACACCATATGTACTGTTGAGTAAACCAGGAATCTCATAATTTCACACCTGGTTTTGAATAAAATTTCGAATTTGTGAAATTTTGTATGAATAATAAACTAGATCAAGAATTTGTAGAACTTGTTTAATGTATGTGATTTCTGTTCTGTATATTTTTACACTAGTACTTGTTTTGTACAGTTCATTACACAGACCTGTTGTGTTACCCATTTTTATGTGCAAAATATATATTCTGGGTCTTTCAAATGGAATAACTGTGAATTACAGTAATTTAAAATTGTTATAAAGTTACATTTCCATCCATCTTACTCCAGTTCTTTCATACATTCATTCTCAAAGTCTAGATACATAAAGGAAGCATCCTAGTTACAATTTAAACTATAGGTAAGGCTGTCTTTGTACTACGTTCCACATGTAGAGAGTTTCAAGTGCCAAACATAATGTTACAAAACTTATAGTTTTCCTTTTTAGAACCTGATTCAGTGATTTCAGTTTTAAGTTGGACTATGGTTTTACAGATTTCAGTTGCAGTATGCACAGCCATAGCTGCAATGTCTCATGCATGTAGTTAATGTACCATTATAATGTTATATTTTGATTGATTGATTTATTTCGTCACTGTAGATCATTGTACATGATATATGACAAGTCAAGTTAATTCTGAATATTAACAATTTGATATATAAGTAGATTAAAATTACAATAGTTACAATTTTTTACTACTGATTACAATTTAGAATTAGTTAGATATTCTTATTTGTGGAGAATTTGATGGAATGAACATTGGCAGGGGAAACCGAAGTACTCGGAGGAAACCTGCCCCAGCGCCATTTTGTCCATCACAAATCCCACTTGCTCAGATCACAGTGGTGGGAAGCCAGCGACTAATCGCTTAAGCTATGGCGTGGCCTTAGAATTTATATTGTACATCCTGCATATGGTTTCTGTCACACTTGGTTTATACATTATTTCTTGGGCTAGTTTTTGGTGTCAGAGGATAGGGATTAGCTCTGCTGACTGGGCTCAACAGAATAGGCTTTTTACCTGAGGATGGAAACAGATTCCGGTTTCTGAAATGTTATTTTAATAAAATTTGGATGATGGTTAATGTCCATAAAACCAATCGCCGTATTAACTTTGACACTGAATGAAGGGGTGAGTGGTCAGCATTACTCTCCAGAAGCTGCTGTATCTTCAGGCCCCAGACTAGAAGATGCTCACTGTCATTTTGCATATAACGATGAAGAAGATAACCACAGTTGATGCCTTGCCAGCAAGCCTACAGTCCAGCACTTCCTAACTCACATCCTCCCCCTTCTTGTATCATCTTCTTAATGTTTTTTGAACTGCCTGTGCTGTAATTCAATTATCTCTTTGTTTATGCAGGCTTTGTATTTCTGATGTCCAAAGCAGTAACACGTCAACAAGGTTAATCAGTACTGGTATCAGTCCTCTGTTCTTTAAAGCTTCTACATGTCTCTAGTAAGTGAAATTCCTTTTGTTCAGATTCATTATAAAACACTGTATTTGATTTGACATATTAAAATGAGAGTGAAAAATAATAAAATTGAAAACTCATTGAGGTACATGATGGTATTGACACACATTTGTGTATTTGTATATTCTTCAGAATTGCAATTGTGTATTGCTCCTCATAATATTGGTAAGTTACATAGAAGGTGCTGTGACATATTATGGCCCCCAGTCATCTGTAAATTGGAATTGTTTATGCTGAAAGTAAATTTATATTGTTTTGTTATACTTTTAGTCTGGAAAATGCTGCCTGAAGTTTGTGACAGTCTTATAAACCAGAGATAAAACATGTGTTGTATTAAAATTTTCCCTCTTATAGTGAGAGGGAGAAATTATTTCCAAAATCTATGAAAGGCAGGAACAGATTACAAGTGTTAACGAGAGTTTGTTGAAAGGAATATTATTATTATTAATTATTTTGCTGTTTATTGTAGTGCCGAGCCTTTGAAGAAAAAGAAACGAATAGATCCTGCTATTTTAAAGCAGAGAGAAGAACGAAAGAAGAAGAGACTGGAAAAGCAGATCCGTCGTCTTGAAAGGAATGCTAAGCAACTGAAACCTATAGATGAACTTGAAGTTCCATTGGAATTAGTTGATGGAAAAAAGTAAATTATGTTTTATAAACATTCTACGCAATGAATTACTAAAAGAGATTTTGTAAGGCCATCCTTGCATTTCAAACCACTTACATTATGTTTTTTAGTTATATATACTGCTCTACCATTGGTAAGTAGCAAAGGCTGAGGCTTACAGATATCTTGCTAAAACAGAGAACTTCATGATTCTCAGGAGGTGTATGATAATTATCATCACTAAACATTGTCCAACATAATATTTCAATAAAGATCTTCATATCATCAAAAAATAAAAATTCTAAGTCTTTGTAGTTGTTGTTAAAGTGTCAAGAGCTACAACTCTTTGACTTTTGGATCATTGGCAGTAAAATTCGGAAGAAATATGTTCTTACTTGGAGTCATATGAGTACATTAAATATCTTGACCTGGAAGAAATATGTGTGTTGTATTTCACTGATGCCTAGAATTATACTTTTTATTGGTACAGTACTATAACATATTTTTACCTGGTAGTGATGCAACAGGCTCTTCCCATCTTTTGGAACATTTAAAAACGTTTGTGGGAAAAATGAAGGTTTTATAGGGGGTTTAAACAGCCCCTCCCCCCAGTACTGGTGATTGGTAAATTTCATGCTCATGAATGCACAGAATTTCCATTGGGTAATCAGAATTTTCCCTGCTATGTTATTATCCACACAGATTTGACACTTTAAAACATTGCAGCCTGAATCTAAGATGATGTTGAGGAAGTCCCTGTCAATATAATTTTGACCCAACTAGCTCCCATAGGCATCTGTTTAAGAAAAATTATCCTTGCCTGTCATTGACTGTTATTAGTTAATCAAAATTCTTATTACAATTAAGGTTTCAGTAAGTCATACATTTCTTCAAATTCAGAAAAGGCTTTTTGAATGTTTACCAACATATATAAGGGAACGAAGTTACAGATTGCCAGCTCAGCTTGGTGTATGGAACCATATATTCTGTATTAATGTATATTTATTTATTTTTATACTATAGTATTTCACTGGGTATTTGTTAATTATTAACTGAGTGAGAAATTCTTTATTAGTACGATCTTGATCATATATCACCATGATGGCAAAAGTCTGCCATTCGACCATCTTCTAAGTTTGCTCAGTCTGGTCCGTATCTCCACAGCCCATTTTCTTGGACAGAGGTCCAAAGTTTTAAAATTTAAATGAAGTAATTTCATCTGGTGGAGTGTCATATTAAGATGTTAAGGATAAATGAACTCACAAGGTTTACATAAATGTCGCCATATAAGACATCATTGTTAAACCTAGGTCATACGCTTTTAAATAGTTTAAATATTTAAGTTCTTTAAAAAAATGACTGAAATAATTTCCACTGATATCCATATGATAACAATAACATGACAGCTTTTAAGAGTCAGCTGACCTGTTCACTTTGCCAGCCACTGTAACACTGAATCTGGGTGTCTTATGTGTATGTACATATAGTATTTACAGCTGTAAGGTATCCAGTGATTTTAATACGTACTTTTAGAGAGAGAATGAGGGAAGCAGCAGTTATAACACCTGCAGTAGAAGAGGAACGTGCTCTGCTAACTAAGGACTGGACACGTTACAAGAGGAAGCAGCATTTGAAGGATATGCAGATGATAGACAGGCTTATGTTTGCACAGCAGAAAGCTCTTGATGAGCTTCGTCAGGAATCAGAGGAACTCTATCAGGCAGCAATACAGGTACTGTGGCATCAGCATATATTTTTAACTAGCTAGAGTATTGTAATGGTATGTTGTACTCCTGTCGACTTTATTGTCCTGACAACTGTTACTACCTTTACAGTTTGTCATGAGGTGAGTATTGATTTAATCAAAACTGATATAATGGACAACCTGCTGTTTGCTGTTAAAAATGTAGTTCTTGAAATTACTTGTTTTTGTCAGAAAAGGAACAGTAAAGATGTTTGTATTTTTTTTTTCCTTGGCACTACAGCCCCAGTGGGCCTGGGCCTACCTCCATGAACTCTGTTCACTTCGGTTTTTCTAGATCTTACACATATGGTAGGACTCCTTGGGTGAGTGATCAGCTTGTCGCAAGGCCTCTACCTGTAGACAAACACAGAAAAACGCACACAAACATCCATGCCCTGAGTGGGATTTGAACCCACAATCTCGGCTTCCGAGCAAGCGAAAACAGTGCATGCCTTAGACCACTCGGCTACCGTGACTGGCTAAAGATGTTTGTATAGTATCACATAACCTGTACATTGTAATGTTGTATAGTACAGGCATGAATTGTGGGACTATGCACTTATTGTAAGCTTTTATTTTATTGCTAGTGGGGTGGGACTAAGTCCTTTGTACTGCGGCCACTTCTGGCCTATTGTACCAGCTCCAGATGATAGGTTAGGGTGATTGTGGAGCAGTTGGTGGAATGAAGATTGGCAGGGGAAACCGAAGTACTCGGAGAAAACCCCTCCAGCTCCACTTTGTCCACCACAAATCCCACTTGAACAGACCCAGGACCGAACCCGGGTCGCCGCTGTGGGAAGCCAGTGACTAACCGCTTGAACTATAGTGCGGCCTATTGTAAACTTAACTGGATCAGTTATAAGCATGTGCTCAGTATTATTTCTAACTTAAATCAGTTCTTGACCATTACTGTGTGATGTTACTCTGGATCAGCAAATGAAGCAGCATCTGACAACGGGTATACCTTGAAACTTACATGTCCTTACACTGTTGACAGGAAAACACATCCTTCTGAAGAATGTGTTATATTTTAATAATTGTTTTTTGTTACAGATCAACCCTACACTGCTTCCTTTTACTGTTCGTGGACCAGTTAAAACACCCCCCATCAAAGGGTATGATAGTCCAGATGGGGAATACACTGATGTTTCCAAGAAATGGTAGTACAAATTTGTAGTGAAGTAAGAATGCCACTGTTTTAGCGACTGTAGTAATTGGAATGGATAAACAATAAATAGAATACACTTCATTATTGAAAATTATGTTTTTAGTTTTTATTATCCTTTTTGAAAACTCCTGTCCATGAAGAATAGTTTATTTTAGTGGTCTTGTAAATATGTAATACAAAGATAATGTATTTCAGAATTTTTTAGACAGTGATAGAAATGGATATACAGAAATGATATGCTCCACTCAAGGCCCATGGCGCATTTTGTGAAGGTATTTAATTCCTTTTAGTTGCTTCTCTTGTCATGGAAAATGGAGATGATTTTGTTCATATAAATTGTTTCTGTTTTCAGTGTTGTGAATAACCACTGGACAGGAGTAGTTAATCCTTGTTTGCAGGTCTACGAGAGTAATTGTACTGAGGAGCAGAATATGTGAATGTTCAGATGTGTATGGTGAATTAATGTTAATGCAAGCAAGAATTGTTTAAACGGTGTGAATAAATTATTACATCTAATAACTCACTTACTTACTCATGGAGCTGAGCCCTTCTTGAGGAGCTGCCAATTCTGCAGCTACTCAAGAATTTCCCAGCATTTTATGGAACCCGAAGGTTTGTTACCGTGTTCACAAGAGCCCTCCACTGGTCCCTATCCTGAGCCAGATCTATCTAATCCATACCATCCCGTCCTATGTCTCTTAAAATCCATTCTAATATTGTCCACCCACCTATGCCTTGGTTGCCCATGTGGTACATCTGATAACTAATTGATTATATTGTAATAGAACCAGAAGGTTTAGTATTGCTAATACCTGAACATACCATGGGACACAATCCTGAGCCAAATTTTCCCGAGATCCATCTTAATATATTGTAACGTGTTTCGTTACTGAATACGCTGTAGAGATCATTAATTGGTTTATTGAACAATCTACAAATATCGGCTACAATTAATTATCACAATGTTACGGGTTTCCACACTTTACAAACCCTACAACAAAATCTCTTTAACACTATCTTCCAGAGTCTTCACGTATTAATAGCGCGGGAACTATACAAGTCTCGCTGAATTACACACTCCAAATATAACTGGTTATCACGAACTATCACTGAATCTCGCACACGCGTCTGTAGCTTGTGACTTGCGAACTGAGAACTCGTTGATAACACACTGACTCTTGCTTGCTGCTCAGCCGGCTTTTATTCTGTTCGCTGTTGCTAGGGTCGCCCACCACGTCACTACTGTGACGTGGCGTATAGCCTAGCAACGCTGTTACCTCGAGCCGTCTTACATCACCGCGCATTGTGCGTTACATCACCACGGAGGGGTTGGGGGGAGGGAGCGCTACGTTACCGCCACGTTCCGCTGGGGAGGTAGGGGTCCTCCATTGCGCTACATGTCACAATATTATTCTTATATCATTTTTAGCCTACAGTTGTTACCACAATTATATTTACAGTGTTCTGAAATACATGTCTTGGGGTATAACCAGTCATCTCCTTTACTTTTATACTGTTATCGTCTTGTAAGATGATGATTGAATTATTCTTCATCAGTTACTGAAGTTATGCAGCTTGAATTGTTGCAGTCAGAGTGATGAATTGAGGCAGATGTAACAGGGAGCACCCATGGCATGTTTTTGACCTTTAGAATAATGTTGACATAATAGTGTAATAACTACAGCATCACACCATTTATTTAATATTATGTTTTCACCTTCAGAGAGAGGTTGACATAATGGTATACCACATTGGCACTTATACTCGTGATTTAATATTATTTTTGCTGACAAGCAGCTGTCGCTCAGTCGGTATAGTTCGCTTGTGGGCTAAAACCACAGTTTGTTTGTTTTTGTTTTTTATTCTGTATGTATTTACTGTTAGAGTAAAAATTATGTAATAATATAATAGTATCTGTGTTGTCACTATTAATTTAATATTAACGTACAGAGGGCCCACAAAATATGGTGTTTCAAAGAGTTATGTGTTTGTAACTATGGTGTATAATAAAAAACAAATGAAAGTGAAAACATGCACTTTTAATTTGTGTTAATGAGAAGCTATACAGGAGGTTTGGTACAGAAGTTCAGTGCTTTATACTTAGACCACTGTGTGTTCATATTGTGATATGTAGACCCATTCCTAGGAAAGCAGCTGACAGACACGATTTAATGGAGATGGATTCTTGTAAGTCAACACATTTCTTACTGGTGAACACGTTCCCATAGAGATGGATTCTTGGAAACCAACTTGTTACAGAACATGTTTCTGTGGATATGAATGATTTACGAACATTCCTTGGATATGGATACGGTTTATAAGACGAGAACAGAATTCAGATCAGATCATTGGGAGACAGAAGCCAGAAAAAGGCAGGAGAATACAGTTGAAGACAGGCTAGAAGAGAAGTTAGTCATAGTTCAGATCATAGCGAGAGATTAGATCAGATCAGAATTGAGTGAGTCTTAGGCATTCAAGGAAGAAGGGCTGAACTGAAGAGTTATTGTGAGTTATTCTAATTGATTCAGGAGCCGGGATAGCGCAGTCGATATAGCAACTACCTAGGAGCTGGATGACTAAGAGGTCAGAGTTCAAGTTCTGGTAGGGTCAAGAATTTTCTCTTCACATTGTCCAGACTGGCTCTGGCCTTCTATCCGATGCATACCGGAGGCTCTTCCCCCCAGTAAAAGTGATGGGCATGAAGCTGGCCACTCTCCTCCAACCAGTGCCGAGATCAAGAAAATGTGGATCTATACATCCACTCCCCCATATGCCTTCATGGCATAGTGCTTAATTCGTTAAGCACAGGGAACAACTTTACCTTTACCTGTTATAATTGATTGTGATTATGAGTGATTGTAAAAGAGTGTTAAATAAATCCAATCCAAACCCCTTCATTGTTAGTCATACACATAAATACATGACAGCTGGTGTCAGAAGTGGGATTGAATTAATCAAATTATTGGATTAGAGATTGCATTGTGTCGTTACACCATCATACCATGGAAATGGAGATGGAACAGCTGATGAAATGCCAGCTGTCCAAATGGAAGGCAGAAATGAAAGCCGACCGAGAAGAATGAAAGGCAGAAATGAAAGCTGGCCAAGAAGAAATCAAGGCAGAAATGAAAGCTGACCAAGGAAAGATGGTGGCCAGGTTGGAAGCCAAGATAGAGGAGATGAAATCTGGCCAAGTGAAAATGAAATCCACAGTGAGTGCCATTGAAAGGAAAATGGAGGACTGTCTAGTAAAGATGGAGGCCACTGATTTGGAGGCAAATCCAGAAGAAATGCAGTCCAAGGCGGTGCATCAGGAGGTCCCTAACAAAGAAGCCATAGTGAAATCTTCTGGAGCACTGAAGAAGCGTCACAGAGGCCGGCATCTAGCTGCAGGGCACTGCAATCAGAGGAACAGAACCAGGGAAAATGTGGATCCCAGAAGAAACTGGCTGCCATCCACAGAGGGGTGACATGCCATGCAGGAGTGTCATGGTGCAAAGGACACAGCCCAGAGAATGTGGTACAAGGGACCTGGAGAAGATGGATGCCCAGGAGGAGACAGTGGACCCACAAGGAAGGTAGCACTGGCATGAGGAACTGAAACCTTAACCAGCAATTATGTCTGAGGAGCAAGAGGACATCTGGCAGGATATAGAGGAAGATTTTCATACTGGAAATCATGAAACAAATAGCCAGATCGTATGTCAGACTTCAAAGAATGAGGAACTGGACACTGTGGAGGGATTGGCCCCCTCCAAAATGGAAAAGGAGATTGTACACAGAGTAGGAGCCAGAAATGTGGGAGCACCAGCCACTCTGAACAGATTTGCATCCACCATTTGAAAAGAAAAAAATGGGATGATGGTTATACATCTGGACAAACTGGCACCTTAAGGAGGGAGCAGAGGGAGTGGTTGGAGAAAAGTTACTACTGAATAATCTGAGCCGTGAGAAGATGAAACCAAGCGCAACCATCAGAAGAAGAAAAGGCAGTACACCTATAACCTATTCAGGACAAAAAGCCTTAAGGAGGGATCAGTGTGACCCATTGCTAGGAAACGAGTTGACAGACGCATTTCCATGGAGATGGATTCTTGAAAGCTAACACATCGCTGAATGGCGAACGCGTTCTCATAAGGATGGATTCTTGGAAACCAACATGTTTCTGTGGGTACAGAATTCAGATCAGACCGGTAGAAGACAAGACAGAAGCCAGGAGAAAACAGTAGAAGACAGACTAGAAGAGAAGTCAATCATAGTTCAGATCAGAGTAGAGAGAGATCAGATCAGATCAGAATTGAGCGAATCCTCAGCAGTTAAGGAAGAAGGGCTTAGCTGAAGAGTAATTGTAATTGATTGTGATTATGAGTGATTATAAAGGAGTAATCAATAAATCTAATCTTCCAATTCAAACCTTTCTATTAGCCTTGCATCAATAAAATATGTGACAATAGAACTGCCAGATTATTTATAAGTGGTATGTCATTGCCCTTTAGGGAGTTCTTAAGATACTTACTAGAGTTTTTAGTCACCATAGAGAGACAAGGAACTTGGGTTTTCTGGAATGTATTTGTCAAATACAGCACTTAATATGCTTCTGTCCCTTTTTTTACCTGAATGTTACTTTTCCAAAAAGAAATGTCATCAAGATTATTTTCACAGTTCTAATTAATCTAAGGCTTTATAGGTTCATAACCTTTATTATCACATGACAATTGTCATTGGATATTTTTTAGCAGAACACTGAAATTTGTGTTAAAATATGTCATCCCAAAATAATTAAAATATATACTGTAATGTTATATTTTAGCATCCTGTTGCACTGATTTATGTCCATGATTTATTCTAACCGTCTTACAGTGCATACATTTATTCACCCCACTCTTCCCTCCTGCACTACATGTTTCAGCACAGAAGTGCCATCTTCAGGTGCTTTTCGATGTACGTTAAACTATTTCATTGCATGCCCTGTTGTCTTTATACTAAAATATATATTCGTCATATATATTGATAAATTTCAAATATTAAAAATATTAAAACTGTTCAGGATTTGTCATCCTNCAGTTTAATGTATATAGAAAAGCACCTGAAGATGGCACTTTTGTGCTGAAACATGTAGTGCAGGAGAGAAGAGTGGGGTGAATAAATGTATGCACTGTAAGACGGTTAGAATAAATCATGGATATATACTGTAGTGTAATAGTTATTCTGATAACATTTCGTTTCACTGTTCATTCACTTTATAAAGTGGAATGGAATAAAGGAATATGGGTATTTTTTGGGGGGGGGTAGAGGAAAATTCAGGACCTATTCAAGCATCCATATTCCCTTTTCTCCAAGATTTCCAGTCAGTTATACCTATCTGTGTCGTACCCATTCTTATATGTAAGGGGAGTGATGAACAAATAAGGCGTTTTGAGAATGGAAGTTTAGATATTTGGATGTATGTTTATAATTAAATTATGTTTAATATATGCATTAAACATACATTAGTAACAAAATAACTTGGATTTACAGTATAAAAGACTTAAAGGCAACAATTGACATCACTAAAGACAAACACACAAGAACTTTGCAGTGAGACATTACATAGTATCATTACAGTTTATATACAGACCATACAATTGCACTTATATACAGCCTCTTTAATTAATTATTTTTCTGAATGCTGTATAGTATAGGATTTTTGATCACAGTGAAAGAAATAGCAGTGTAACATTTGTCAGCATTACAAAACTTGTACTGTCTGGGCAGGTTACTAAGCCCTTGCATAGTCTTGGAAAAATATAATTGACCTGTGCACAGTGGCAATTTTTTCAGTAATTTACACTGTGAAGGTCTTATACTTAGGTTTAATTTCTTACACTAATGTAATAATGCAATTACTTCCAATAACCACAACTTATTTCATAATAATTCAATTAAATCCAACCTGTCCACAACATAACAATAGATTGAAATTTACACTTTAATTTTGTCTTGTCATTAATGGGGTAATATGACAAATAGCCCACTTCAAAAATTGTGTTGATGCTATCAGCTGTATCTGAAAACTCTTAACATGTTGAATTTGTCATGATTTCATTACTTTAACCTCATAGTATTAAAGAAACCAAAGGTTCATCACTTGTCATTTCTAAAACACAATCATACTGTCATATTCTGTCCTCATTTGACTCAAAACCACATCACATAAAATTTTTCAGGGAATTCAGTTAAGTATTACCCTTTTGTCCAAAACCTTAGGCTTCACAGAAGCATTAATTTACAAATTTTGACCAAAATAGTTTGATTCTAAAGAGTTCTGGCGATGGTGTATAATAAACAGAATTACTGGTTTTTTGGACCTTTTCTGTCATCCAGTATTCTAGAAAATAGAAAACATGACGTTTCGGAAAGTAGATCTGTTTCCATCCTCAGGTGAAGGTGGCAGGAAGATGCCTACTCGGGTGGGACCCTTAGAAAGAGCTTGAGATTAGCTCTCTCTAAGTGGTCCAACTGAGTAGGTGTTTTCCCCCTTCCATACCTGAGGACGGAAACATCCAGTTTCTGAAACGTCATGTTTCTGTTTTCTAGAATACTGGGCAATGGAAAGGGTCCAAAATCCCAGTAATTCTGTGTGTAAACAGTTTAGTTTTCCATCTTGTTTTTGTTGCATGCCAAGACAGTCATTGTAACCTTCCTGTAACCCTTTCTGGTAATCCTGAGAGAAGAGCTTAAATTAAATTCCATTTTATATTACAGTCATCTTAGACCTTCTGGCAAATTGTTGAGTTGTTCAGGTGGAAGAATCAGATGCTCTTCCCATCTAGCTGTACCACAGAGATTCAGGCTACTGGCATAATTGATGTGTGTGTGTGTGTGTATATATATATATATGTCTCCCTCTACAGCCACTAGTTTGTAGTAATTTCTACTTTGATTAACTGATTTTATTGTATTTGATATTCAGCTATTACTAAAATTTGCCTACAAAACTAGTCAACAGTGACTACTACTTCACAAAGAAATGTGTTATTTCAGTAAATGAGTGGATCAGAAAAAATTTCAGGCAAAATTGTAACAACTAATGAGATGAATGTAAAGTGTGTTCACAAAGTCCCTTCGGGGTTTAGAAAAATTGTGGCATGCAAACAAATTGAGCTAGCCACATGCAGTTTGCGGCAGATCATAGTGAAACTCTGGAAGTTTTTTACTGACCTCAGTAGACCTTGATGTGGACTCCTTTGGTAGCATGGAGAACGTCCAGACTATTTGGGCTCTTGCCAAATTCTGTGGAGTATATCTGCTGGAATAGCCAAGATTGCATTCCTGATATGTGTGGGGATATGTCGTGTGTTCCGAATACCAGTTAACGGACTTTATAACATGAAGACCTGTATCAGGAATGTGATCTCGGCTATTCCAGCAGACATGGTCCACAGAACATGGCAAGAGCTCGAATATTGTCTGGATGTTCTCTGTGCTACCAGAGGAGCCCACATCAAGGTCTACTGAGGTCAGTAAAAAATTTCCAGAGTTTCACTATGATCTGCCATGAACCACATGTGGATAGCTCAATTTGTTTGCACGCCACAATTTTTCAGAACCCCAAAGGGACTTTGTGGACACACTGTATTATGACAAAACATTGTCGTACATTTTGAGGTAATGACTACTGAGTTGGATTTTTTCATTACTCATATACATGAAAGATATCTATTTATTTATTGGTGCACTTCACTAGCCTCGTTGTGTTTATTTAAGAGCATATAATAAGATTGGGACAGCATTGTTACCAGAAGTTGATGATGGCCTCTTAGGTAATGCGAGACACAATGACCTTAAAAATGATCACTATATAGTTTTCATACAGTGTAATGTGGAGGAGTTTTTAAGTCTGTAAGAAGTACATGGGATCAGAATCACCTAGAGAGAATGTGTGTGTATGTGCCTGTGTGGGACTCTTGTACCTGTAAATTCTTTGCCATTATGCCTGATTGTTTAATATGCATTAAGAATATTGATTGGAATATGTATGCATCATCCTTCAGACCATGTCAGATCATAAACAATGACTACAGCAGAAATCTGGCATTATTTTATATTATTGTATAGTGGGGCAAAATAAGTTTCATTGCCATGTTTTATGTCGCTTGAAAGTGACATGTATGTAAAGGGGTTATTGGAGGTAAATTTGTTAATCATTTGTTTCTTTCATGGGGGTATAAGAGGAGGCTGATAGATCAGTTAAAAGCAGTTATCTTGACACCATATGGTTTACTTTGCTGAAATTGAGTCAAGAGTTTGATAAGGAATTTGAAATGTTAACTTGTAAACAGAAATAAATAAGTTTTGTCTGTTTTACCTTCTTTTTGGAAGGACAAAATCAAATACATGTGGGTCATGCATGTTGCAGAAATATATTGCACATGATAATTTTTCACAAGAACTTAACATTTGACATCACTGTTGCTGATTGTGAATTATGTAATGTGAGACAGAAGATTTTTCTGTAAGTGCCCTGATGTTTTTGTCAGTTCCACATGCCACCCTTTGCGCTTACTAAGAACCAAGAAATGCATACTGTTTTCATGAATACAGTTTATTCTAAACTATACCGTGATACCCATATTTCATATTGACTTCTGTGCAAAGGTACTTAAGAGAGCCTTTTGTAGGAATGTAACTCTCATACTATGGGAGATCTACTTTACATGTTTGTGGAGTGTGGAATTTAGTTGCTCCATAGATCTGTAAGCACAAATGCACTAAAATGAATCAGTTTTCTGTATATTGCACAGGGAAATAACCTTAAATGTAATATCATGTCCTTCTTCCTTTTAATTCCTAGGAGAAATATAGAGCCTGACAATGCAGATGTGGTAGTTGGTTCCATCAGTTTTTCTATTATCAGATGTGTGTCTAAACAAACCTGAATATTCCCACTGTGGAACCTAAAGAGACTGATGAGTGAGCTGTGACTTCCATACTGCTGAAATTTCATAGTATAATCATCACAGACAGTCAGCAGCTTGTTCAATTCATGTACTCCTTTTAACTACAAAAACATAGAAAGCACTTTTGAAATGTATACCTATTGTAAATACTAACATTTATAGCTAACCATTCTTGCATATTACCTGTGATATGCCAGACATATTATTTGGACCATTACATTTGCGTTTGTTAAATCAGTCATTCTCAGAGCTCTTTTACAAATTGGAACTTAATCAAATTTAAGTTCACGTTTGCAAATGGGGCAGTTGTCAGAGGCTTTGAGACACTGACGAAGGCAATCACCATGGAATATATGATGGCAAGGTGTAATACGAGCCAATCGCATGGGACTTAAACAAACTGCACACACATCATCAAAAGCAGCCAACTCATCTGATGTAGCATAACGATATTGGTTGATCACAGCACGTTCATTATTGAGAATTCTCAAACTGTTGAGTACCATCTCCTTACTTCGTAGGAAGGCATTTAGATACAATACTGTGAAAACAAAGCGGTATTGTCCATATGCAATAAGGGGAATTGAAAGAAGTAGGGTTAGGGCAATGGTAAATGTTCGGAGTATGACTGGAGCCCACAGAATTTCTAAAGATTCCAGGACATTGAGTTGTAGGAAGAGGAGGAGAGAAGGGAAGTTATCAACAAAGACCTTTTCAGTTGCCATGTAGTAGAACCATGTGACAGCAGTGTAGATTGAGGTAGGATGATAATGCTCTAGTCCTTGCTCCAGCCCAAACACTAGCAGCATGAAAACTACAGTAATGATGAAGGTCACTGCCTTGGTCCATTCCAACACAATCTTTGTTGCTGACATGGCAAGGTGCTTGATGTTGGAGTGCTCTGTCATTGTGACGTAAGGTGACCAGTCTTCTTTATCAATCAGTTCCTTGATGTATGAGACACAATATGCGATGACGTTATAGAACATGAGAGAGTAGAGGCAAGTCACCCGCTGTCCAGGTACCAGCACTCGGTCACACAACATGAAAAACACCAACTAAACAAAAGAATAAACAATAATTTCCACCTCATTAACAACATTCAACAAAAAAGATAGATATAAGACATTTATGAGAAGGACTGTTGCTTGTAATAACAACAGTCCTAGTCCTATTTACAGTTTGTAGTGTTTTATTAAAGATTATTTTCCAGTGTGATATACTATTTCCCTGTGAATGAGACACAAGTGTATAAGATGCATAATGGTTACGGAAGTATATATTAAGAAGTGTCTTTTCTGAACTGCACTAGGGCATACAATGCACTGTGAATTTAAGGATCATTTTGAAGGATAAGAGACATGTCTTATGCAGTGGGAAATAAGTCAGATGTAAAATATAAGGGAGTTCTAAGGTGGCTAAGGAATGCATGGAATCTTAGCATTGATCTTAAGAGATGTATCTTCTTTCTCTTCCAAAAATATGATTAAAATCATCAAATAAAGTAAGATGGAATGGGTGAGGCGTGTAGTAAAAATGGGCTAAACAGGAAGTGGGTACCAAATTTTAGAAAACTTGAAAGGAAGAAGCTATGTGGGAGATCTAGGCATAGACGGAAAGATTCTGCTGCAATGGATCATAAAGAAATGTGATATAAGAATGTGAATTGGACTCATCTGGCTCAGGTTACAGTTCAACGGAAGATTCTTGTATACTCGTATATTGTAATTTTCAGATCCCATAAAAAGCAGAAATTTGTTGACTAGCTGAGTTACTGTTAGCTTCTCAAGGATGAGTCTGCTACATGGAATTATACTTGCAGTGTATGTAAAGTACAACTGAATGCTATGAAATTATATAAATTTTACATTATGAGCAAAATAAAGTAACACAGTCATATATCCTTTAAAATAAATTCTAAATCCAGTTATATAAAGGAAACTTGAAAATTACTGGAAACTTCTTAAAGACTAAAACCATCAAAGTCACTCTTATAGCTGTATGTCTACTCTCAAGAATATATGACCCTTTCCCCTCCAACCAACTCCTGCTGCTAACTGTAAAATTCTGTGACAGTTCAAATGAATCTCCCTAAGTGTTAAGCAAATATATCATTACTTTTTTTTATTGCTAGTGGGGTGGGACTAAGTCCCTTGTACTGCAGCCACTTCTGGCCTATTGTACCAGCCCCAGATGATAGGTGAGGGTGATTGTGGAGCAATTGGTGGAATGAAGATTGTAAGAGGAAACCAAAGTACTCAGAGAAAACCTGCCCCAGTGCCACTTTGTCTACCACAAATCCCACTTGACCAGGCCCGGGATTGAACCCGGGCTGCCACGGTGGGAGCCAGCGACTAACCACTTGAGCTATGGCGCGGCCTAAATATATCATTAATTATACAATATAAATAAGCAGTGTTTTGTTTCTAGAAATATGTAATAACTGGAGGTGATACTTTTTTAAACTTTGTGATAAAATAATGAACTTCTGTTGTTCCATCTACTGCTGTTAGTACCTCATCTTGTGCACCATAGAACTAGTGAATTGTAATACTGATCTTGGATAGAATGGAATAATAACCAGAAAGCATTTATTGCTTGTAAAATTATTAATGTTTAAGATTACACTCAACACCAAATATTTAGCACATGTCATGAGCAAGTAATTCTCGGAATTACTTCAATAGGAAAATATTTAATTTCCTTCCTTCACAAAACAGTGAAACTAGATAAGTGCCAATTGTAGTCTTAGCATTGATGGATACTTTTTCATAATAAACTGACAGAATTGTGTACCTACCTGATTCACCATTGTGAAAATATTAGTCATCTTCATAAAGAGCTTTTCAGTTCTGTCCAGAGGAGCATATACACGCCAAGCAAATGCTGTAATAGGTTTTATTATGAAGTCACATTTATCTGAAATAAAATACATAACAATCATTAGCATCAAGTAAAACAAAAACTAAACAAATGTTGGAACTGCATATTCAGACATTGAATAAGATGATTTGGACACTTACGAGGTTTTTAGAAATCAAAGAGTATTATTCTTTTCTTATGTCAGCAACAGTTGTTCTGAATACTGAATTGGGTGGGATTGAAAAGGAGGAGAGAGTTTATGTATTTTAAGCTACCTTTCTAACATTAAAATGTGCATTAAATTAGAAAGAATATGCTAGAATAGTTAGTCCCGATCAGAATTTAACTCTAATCTTTATGAGGCCGAACCCAATAGAATATAACGAAATTGCATGTTTTCTTATAGTAAATATAGTGCACAGACGTCTAAATTAACAGATATGATAGCTACAAATATATATTGAATTAGAATGGAACAGAAAAAGAGTTAAAACTTCCCTCTGAAATATAAAGCAGGAGTTTCAATCAGCACCTTATAGTATTTGTTAGAAAAATTAAAAAAATAGAGATCGAAGAATATCTCAGAGTAGATTACTTTTTAGAAGTCACATTTTTTATTATAATTAAAATGCCATAATTAAGTTAAATTTCATAAGTGCCATCAAATTAAACACTTTTGATTTAACATTCAGTGCTTATAATACATGGATGTAGCAGATGTGTGGTATGTGATCACCTTAAGCATCCACACTGAGTGGGTCATAGATATAATATATATATTTTTTCATGACTTAGCATTTTAACACATCTGCATTCTCTGGATGTGAAAATATTTTATCCAAAGATGGGCAACAGTTCTATTTTCAAAAGTGTACATAAAACTGGTACAACTGAATAGATGTTTCTTGTACCAAGCACTAAGTTTCCTGGAATCGTTATCTCATGATACATCAAGTTTACCACAAACTAGACTGCATTCTTAGATTGACTATTTTGAGAGGCTTTCAAACTGAACTTGCTATTTAATATACTCCAAATTATAAAACAAAATAGGAATTGCATAATACATTTCATGACACCAGGTCACATAAGCAGATTTTGTGAGTATAAACTGGATTACTGAATTTGCTCAGGATTTGATCTGTTGTGGTGGTGGCAATGGACATTCAGGTTCCATAAAATGAAGTTTTCCCAATAGTTATGTACCTGTACACTACTGAGGGAATACTCTGCATCTAAGAATTATTTAGCTATTTATGATAACCTGTTTTAGTGTATTATTCCTGCGTTTGGCTGGAAGAACTGAGGAGAAAAGACATTTGGCATTGTCACTGCCCATTATGATGGCAGCATTTATGATGAGAAATAGATGATTAAAACTAATTTTCTGTGGCCAGTAGGAGATCCAAGGCCAGATGCTATGTGAGAACAGTTTTGACTATGAAAATTAAGTAATATATTAAGCCATAAATGATTCATTATTAACTTATCAGTCAGGGAATATTCTTCTTTGTCTTAGTTAGTGCCAAACATGGTGTTATAGACTAGAACATTTGAGGATATTAAGGTTATTTTTCAACAGCTGCAGGGATAAAATCGATTACAAACTGGTATCTTTTTCTAGTCTGCCCCTCTTTCAAAATCTGTGTTTCCTCTAAGATCTGCATCACCAACTCTTACACCTTCTATCTTCTGTTTTGAAAGTGTGACAGATATCATCAGAAAATCTCTGAACCATATTTGAAAATATTTATAGCAACTCCATGATTGACAAATACTCGACCACAGTATCTTAATAATAATCAAAATTTATTTTTTCAATCTTCATTGTTATGACCATTTCGCTTTTCTAACACAAATTATCATCACATTTGGATAAAATTTCCTTGCAAATAATCAGAACTAGCTAAGTTTTCCTGTGTGACATTTATGCATCCCTGCAGAATGCAGAAATGTGTATCAGATCATAATAAATGCATTATGAAATGTGGTACACACTGTCCAGTCTGCACTGCATTTGAGCAACCATAATGATGCAGATCTTGTGGTTCTGTTCATGGGAATCTATTTTCTCCCCTGGAAAGAATGTGTTATTGTACTACATTATAGATCCGCTCATCTGCAGCAACCTCTTTGTGCTCTGTATGAGTGGTAGTTCTCTTGAAATATGCATTACACTCCTGTAGAAGCTCCTAAATTCGTCAAATGTAGGAGTAAATCGAGGTCCATCGCGTAACAAGTGATTCCCATTTACTGAGCAGGTGTGGGGCTGTAATTTTTATAATCCTCTTGGGCCCTCCCTGGTGAGTGCCAGTAGTAATATTATGAAATAGGCCACGACTGCTTCATTCCTTTGCAGTCAACTCTATATGATCATTTGAACAACTAATTCGGCGCCCAATTGATACAGTATAGTTAAATGCAATTTCGAAAAAAGATCCCCAGCATGAAAAGCCATGGAAGCAACTCTACCGTGAAGACGGAGGCAACACGTTCCAAAACGTCGATAAAATTCTACCAGACTGCACAGCGTCACGTCCCAGAGGACATTAATCTTTACAATCATCGCTATGAGAGCTTCAAATACTGTAATTGAACCGAGTCAGAAACCAAACGGATTCAATTGTATAGCGAAAGGGGCATTACGTACATGCGTTATACCGATGGTGATTCGAACCTACAGCCCGTAAGATCATTGCGGGGGTGTTTTGCTGTTCTGAAAAGTAAACACGGCTGATAATACTGAATTACTTTGCTACGATTTTCGTTTCAAGTTTGAGTACATGTAACAGTATGACATATTTCCACTTGGTTTACTTAATTGATTTTCTGGTCATTAAGTAACCATCGCACGTAATTTTGAAGACATAGTGACATAGACACTTGATGACATCATGTGGTCGGGCTGAAGAACATTGTTGCCGCTGTCGGCTAAGCAATGGGAGTGGTTAATCTCTGTTTGCTTCAATTCTGAGAACAAATATCGCGTAGGTATTTTAATCTGCATGTGGAATATCTGACGCAGGACATTTCAAATACTTTCTGAGGGCCACGTGAAATATTCTCCGGAGCCACCCAGCATCATAAATAAACATTCAGCCTATCCTGGAGATGTGTTGATCGCAGGAGAAATTAGAAAAATGGGCTGAAATGAATTAACTTTAATTTCATTGAACCCTGCATCAAAAGACACTAACGTTAGTCCATCATCAGAAGTCCGAACGTCCACCATGCATGGAACTGCATGAAAAGACGTAACAGTGTTGTGGCTTAGTGTCATTACTCTGATATCAAGTTTCAGTTATTTACTTCGGAGCTTTTAAAATGGCATGATCACGGACTTGACATTGCCCAAACCTTGCCTTTTCTTTGTGGAAAAGGATAATATGCTTCATGTACCCTTGTACATCTTATTTATGTTGGAAAATAAGGTTACATTTTTTTCTACTCACAAGTATGTTGTCTGCCCCCAATTTCTGCGTTTTGTAGTTTCTTTGGAGTTTTTCCTTAGGAACTGATTGAAATTCACGATTAGCCCATCAGAACACATCAAAAATAGATAACATTAAAGTGTTGTGGAGTGCCACCAAAAAGCCGGGCGATAGGACGTCCATTGATAGGTAACGGCAGCGATAAGAATGTATACTTCTTTAATAACCAAGTAGTTTGTTTAGGGCGTTCAGGAATTACATTCTGGCACTGCCTATAGCACCTTGAATGTGTAGTGATGGTATTATATCACCCGATAAAAAACGTTAATTGGGCTGCATACATTTTTGGAAGAATTCCATGTTAAGTATACATAAACTTTAATAGACCCACGAGTAATTTTCTTTCCTCAGGTTCGGACGATCTGTCAACACGGAAATGTGTAGTTACATCCTCTGCTTCATTTGTGTTTGAGCAAACAGCAAACAATTCAGTAACCTAGGCTGGTGACGTAGGTGTTTTCAATTCATGTTGACAACAATATTTCTTTAGCAGTATGTTTGTGTGGCACAGATATTTAAGACGTCAACCGTTTTGGCTCTATCGCAAAGAGAGAAGGAGGAACCCAACCCCCAACTGTCGTCACAACTAGGTGGGGGGGATTTTGTGGAATTTGGTACAGTCAGGTCAATTAACATATCTGGCATATGAATGGATGGAAATATTATAGTCGTGTTTGAAGTCAAGTGACGAATTTTTTGTTTGAACAGAGAGCAACTTAAGGGCACTTAAATAACATTTAATTTTTTAGTACCAAGAATAATATTCACTACAGATATAATAGCTATTTATTTTCCAGTGTTACTTAGTTTTACTTGTGGTAACTGAACTTCTTAAATTTGTCAGATGCTGTATACAAAAACTAATATGCTTCCATTTCCCAGACGGGTCCCTCAGTGAACAAGAATTGTTTTCCTGGGAAAGGATTTCTCGTAATTAATCAAAGCAGAGTACAAAATTAAGTCAAGTATCATTCTCTGTTAAGTATTACAAAGATAAAGAAAGTAGGGGAAAATGCTGCTGAAAGTATAAAACACGTAATGAATGAAGTTGGTCTGAGGTATGTATTTGGATCGATGTCTGACGTCAGCCCAGCACTCTGCCTGGACTCAATATTCATCCTCATGGACAATCCTAATCATGTTTCATGTTAAGTTTTGGGATCAGTATGTTCATGAAAGTACAACTCATGTTACAAACAGTATAATTTTTCGATGCAAAGGCGTTACAAAGGTAGGTCAGTTTGAGTAAGGAAATCGGTCAGGGAAAGTCCTCTTACCATGCACAAAAGCGGCACAATCTAAATTCCGGGCAGACAAATAATCTTAAGGGGACCGAAATTGGCGCTCGCTCGCAATTAGCCGATGATTTTATGAAGGATGGTACTAGGCAGTTAACCCTTTATTCCAGTATATGTATCATGTGCGTTAACACACCAAATCTCTGCATTCTTTCCTCAGAGTGTATTTGTGTGTTTCATATGGTTCTCGCAATAAACAGCGATTGTTTCCCTAAACAGCATTAATCGATTTATTTTTATAATGAAGATGTAGTGTGTTTCTTGTGAG